CAAGCTAACAAGTTAACAACTATCATGCTAACAAGCTAACAAGTTAACAAGCTAACGACTAACAACTAACATGCTAACAACTAACAGGCTAACAGCTAACATGCTAACAACTAGCATACTAACAACTAACATACTTACATGCTAACACCTAACATCCTAACGAATAAAAAGCTAACAACTAACAATCTAACAGCTAACATGTTAACAACTAACATGCTAACAACTAACAATCTAACTGCTAACATGCTAACAAACTAAAACCTAATATGCTAACGACTAACAAACCAACAATAAGTTAACAATGCTAACATGCTAACAACTAACAACATGCTAACAACTAACAATCTAACAGCTAACGTGCTAACAACTAACATACTAAAAACTAACATACTAACATGCTAACAATCTAACAGCTAACAAAGTAGCATGCCACTAACTAATATGCTAACAACTTGCATACTAACATGCTAACATGCAAACAAGTAACACCTAACAAGTTAACCGACTAACAAGTTAACAGGCTAACAAGCTAACAGGCTAACAAGCTAACAAGGTAACAAGCTAACGAGCTAACAACTAACAAGCTAACAACTACCACGCTAACATGCTAACAACTAACATGGTGACAACTAACATGATAACAAGCTGTCAAGCATGCTGGCATGCTGGCATGCTAACAACTAACAACTACCAAGCTAACAACCAACTACCACGCTAACATGCTAACAACTAACATGGTGACAACTAACATGATAACAAGCTGTCAAGCATGCTGGCATGCTAACAACTAACAACTACCAAGCTAACAACTAACAAGCCAGCAATTTAACATGCTAACAAATAACAATCTAACAGCTAACATGCTAACAACTAACATGCTAACAACTAACAATCTAACAGCTAACATGCTCACATGCTAACAACTAACCAACAACTAACAATCTAACAACTAACATGCTAACAACTAACAATCTAATAGCTAACATGCTAACAACTAACATGCTAACAACTAACAATCTAACACCTAACATGCTAACAACTAACATGCCACCAACTAACTCCCAACATGCTAACAACTAACAAGCTAACTACTAACTACCAACAAGCTAACAAGCTAACAAGTAACATGCTAACAAGCTAACAAGCTAACGACTAACAAGCTAACAACTAACATACTAACAACTTGCAAGCTAACAAGCTAACAAGTAACATGCTAACAAGCTAACAAGCTAACGACTAACACGCTAACAACTAACATACTAACAACTTGCAAGCTAACAAGCTAACAACTAGCAAACTAATAAGTTAAGAAACTAACAAGCTAACATGCTAACAACTAACAAGCTAAAATGCCAACAAGCTAGCATACCACTAACTAACATGCTAACAACTTGCAAGCTAACAACCAACAATCTAACAGCTAACATGCTAAAACTAACATACTCACAGCTAACATGCTAACAACTAACATGCAACTAACAACTGGCAAGCTAAGAACTAACATGCTAACAAGCTAACAAGCTAACAACTAACGTGCTAACAACTAACAAGCTACCAACTAACAACTAACAACTAACATGCTACCATGCTAACAACCAACAAGCTAACAAGCTAACCAGCTACCATGCTAACAAGCTAACAAGTTAACGGCTAACAACTAATATGCTAACAGCTAATATGCTAACATACTAACAACCAACAAGCTAACAACTAACATGCTAACAGCTTACATACTAACACCTAACACGCTAACAACTAACAGACTAACAAGCTAACAGACTAACAAGCTAACAAGCTAACAAGCTAACATGCTAACAACTAACATGCTAGCAAGCATGCTGACATGCTCACAACTAAGTTAACACCTACCTAACAAGCTAACAATTTAACAGCTAACATGCTAACAACTAACATGCTAACAACTAATATGCTAACAACTAACATACTAACAACTAACATACTAACAACTAATATGATAACAACTAACACGCTAACAACTAACAAGCTAAAATAAAAACTAACATACTAACAAGCTAACAGCTTACATGCTAACAACTAATATGCTAACAACTAATATGCTAACAACTAAAATACTAACAACTAACATGCTAACAACTATCAAGCTAACAACTAACACGCTAACAACTAACAAGCTAAAAACTAACATGCTAGCAAGCTAACATGCTAACATGCTAACAACTAACAAGCCACCAACTAACAAGCTAATAACTATCATGGTAACAACTAACAAGCTAACAACTAACATGCTAACAAGCTAACAAGCTAACATACTAACATACTAACATACTAACATGCTAACAACTAACATGCTAACAACTAACAAGCTAACAACTAACATGATACCAACTAACAAGTTGACAATATAACAGCTGACATACTAACATGTTAACAACTAACAAGCTAACAAGCTAACAACTAAAATGCTAACAACTTATAAGCGAACAACTAAAAAGCTAATAAGCTAACAAGCTAACCATTAAAAGGCTAACAAGCTAGCAAGTTAATAAGCTAACATGCTAACAAGCTAACAACTAACAACTAAAAAGCTAACAAGCTAACTAAATATGAGAACAGGAAAACGAAATCCGAATTCCAAACATGATATTGGCGAAAGATTGGTAACGGCTTCTGAACTTTTGATATGGACACGAGGAAGTATTTTGTTTCGTCAATAAGTTGTTTTGTATTTCAGGTTTTGTTTTCCGGTTCTCATCTTTAGTACTTGGTTTATTAGTATCAACCACAAGTGTTTCAAAACCAAGAACAAAATGGCTGGCACTTACTTTAATTGTAGATGATGATAGAAATTAGCTCCATTGGTTGTAAAATATACACTAAGTATTGTAATAACAGCAACGGCAGTCAGAATAATCGTTAGTTTTCTTAAACCTAAAATAAACATCAAGTAGAATGGAGTTTTATGTTCTACTTTCCGAATTGGAATAATAGTGGTGATCTGAGGTTAAAGAGATTGTAGTGAGGTTTTCTAATTTTTATGTGTATCAGGGACACTAATAGCATCAATTTACACCATTCTAATTTTCAATCAGAGGTCTGTGGTTCTTGTTAAAGAGATTGTAAAGAGGTTTTCTGATTTTTATGTGTATCAGGGACACTGATAGCATCAATTTACACCATTCTAATTTTCAAACCGAGGTCTGTGGTTCTTGTTAAAGAGATTGTAAAGAGGTTTTCTAATTTTCGTGTATATCAGTGACTCTGATAACATCAATTTACACCATTTCAGTTTTCAATCAGATGTCTTTGGTTCCTGTAATTCCACTAAAACTAAGCGTCTTATGTCACTATAACATTATTGGCAGCTAAGCTATAGTGACGTCATTTCCGATAAAGCATGTGTCTGTTTTCAGGAAACTCAGTTATCTGACGTAAATGAGAATGATGCAAATAAAGTCCATATATGGCCCCAACACACATATATAGTTTAATTTTGCAAATTTGCATAAGCTTTACTCTTTTCGGGCCGGTAGCCAGACGTTCGGTGAAGCAAGTAATATATCCGGTGGGGCAAGTAATATATCCGGTGGGGCAAGTAATATATCCGGTGGGGCAAGTAATATATCCGGTAGGGCAAGTAATATATCCGGTGGGGCAAGTAATATATCCGGTGGGGCAAGTAATATATCCGGTGAGGCAAGTAATATATCCGGTGGGGCAAGTAATATATCCGGTGGGGCAAGTAATATATCCGGTGGGGCAAGTAATATATCCGGTGGGGCAAGTAATATAACCGGTGGGGCAAGTAATATATCCGGTGGGGCAAGTAATATATCCGGTGGGGCAAGTAATATATCCGGTGGGGCAAGTAATATATCCGGTGGGGCAAGTAATATATCCGGTGGGGCAAGTAATATATCCGGTGGGGCAAGTAATATATCCGGTGGGGCAAGTAATATATCCGGTGGGGCAATGGTGCATGGTGTTAAGTTGTAGTGTCCAGGAACCAAGCAACTTAATGTTTTTTTTTGTGTCCCGAAACAGTAATGCTAGCTTACGGAAAATGTATGACCTTGCTGACAGGAGCGGGGAATCGACCAGGATTAGTTGAGAATATCTTCCTTACCTGAAATCATGATGAATAAACGTATTCTAGGTGTTCTAGGGTTAGATGCCTTCCGCAGGTAAGAAACAATCTGATGCCTGGGCCAGTGCTTCAGACAGTCGATGCGGTGTCGGCTTCCACCCACTATTACCAATATAAAAACCACTCTTCTTCAGGGATAACTTTAAAATTTTTCATCCGTAGTGTCTTCTGAATATCTTCTAGTCTTCTTCAATAAAGAAATTAAAATAAAAATTTAAATTATTTGTTTAACGACACAAGATTCCGATGAAGATATTCGGCAATCCTCGACAGTTTCCGTAAAGCTGATTATACGTTGCAGGGCCATAGTAAAACTTTCATAGTATACCCCACTTGAACTTTCATGGTAGGCAAACACATATAGAAAATAATAAACAAAAATGATATTCCAGAAAACAAAAATGAAAAAAATAAGTAGAATTAAATCATAAATAAACAAACAATTAAAGATATATAACTAACCAATATAAAAAACATACATAATAAAGCACGTACTACCTAGATTAATTTCTTAATTTTAAATCTTTTTATCAATATTTTGTCTTTCGGCTTATTTATTACGTTTACAAATTTAAAGGGATTATAAAGAGGTTTTTTTGAATTGTTTATGTGTATTGGGGACACTGATAGTTTCAATTGACACGTCTGATTGTAAATTGGAATGGTGCAAAAAATATGAAAGAATGAATAAATTTCCTAGGTGAGAGATAAGCTCAAATACCTTACTCCAAAGGGACAGATGCCATTTTGGGGAGTTGATTTTAGACTTGAATATACTTAAATAGTCTTCAGAAATACTAGAAATGTACAAAAATACTGTAAACTAGGAATTTTACTCACTATTTCTATATATATCTTTTCTATATATCACAGAGTATCTTCAATTGACAAGTCATCATTTTAACATTCAAACACAGATAATTCTGGACACACGTGGATTTGAAGACTCAGTTTCTGAGACTGAAGTATGATTGGCCAAAAAAATGGCGCACCTGTCCCTTTAACAAGATTGCTAATTCAATGTATTGATATACAAATAGGCCATAAAATGTAGTAATATTACAATAGTTATATATAATGAATTATAAAAGATATATATATATTGATAATATACATATTTGCCCAGAGCAACGTCGATTTATTTAAATGAGTTTGTATATCTGCTACATAATCATTTAATAAAACGGACTCTATAGATTTGCCCGGGGCGACAGGGTGTGGTTACTTGGTCAGGGAAACCGCTAAAAAAATTGAAACTAGGTCTTACTCACTATTTCATTGCATGTCTTTTCTATATATCACACAGTATCTTAAAATAACGAGTCCTCATTTTAACATTCAAACGTAGATAATTCTGGACACACATTGATTTTTGCACGGGGCTAGGTCTGAAGTAAGGACTATTGATTTACTAGTGCTGGTTAGTAATGTTTTGTTAGTTTTATCAATGATAATAAATTTATTTTGATGGTACTGACTTGTCCTGTGTTATAATAAAAAAAAGCTGCTTTGTACAAATATTATTTTACCCACAGATGGTGAGATTCCTAGTTTGAGGTCTAAATTAGACTTCTGTCTAAATGGTTTGCCAAATAAAGTTATTATATTATAAAGTTATTATTATTATAAAGTTATTATTATTATAAAGTTATTATTATTATAAAGTTATTATATCATAAAGTTATTATTATTATAAAGTTATTATATTATAAAGTTATTATATTATAAAGTTATTATATTATAAAGTTATTATCATTATAAAGTTATTATTATTATAAAGTTATTATTATTATAAAGTTATTATATTATAAAGTTATTATATTATAAAGTTATTATATTATTTGAAGGAATTATGGGATTTTAGACTTCTGAAGACTATTTACATATAAGACAAGACTCAAAATGAAATGACGAATCCCTTAGTTAAGTTTTCCAGAATATTAATGATATAGAAATATTTAATAGGTTTAAGAATGATTGGTATTCATTAAAGGGACATTCCGAACTTTTTTCGTAGGTCGATTTTTTCTCAAATTTGTGAAAACTATACACCAAAATGAAGAAATCGGTAATTGTGCGCCGACCTTTTACATATCTAAAAAGTTTAACTAAAAAAATCCGACGATAATTTTTTAACGTCAAAAATATTTAAAAACATTACGCAAGTTCGTTGTGGTTTATTAGAAGCTGTTAGAAAACTACTGTAGAGATTTGAGTAAAATAAACACCTAATTGTAGAGAAATATATCTTCTACATATCCTTAAGATTTTAACTAATAATATCGAGCCATTATAAAGCTGGGGTCCTCTAGAGTC